TATATATATATATATATATATAATGTAAGATAGTGTATTAACCGTCCGTGAAGACTATTAAAATTTCATGAATACAAGACAGCATTGTATGCTGTCAATATTACGAATGTAATTATCGGTATCTTGTAAATGATAATTTTTTCTAGTTGTGACATTATCGATTGAGTTCTTAGTACATATTCTATAAATATGTGCGACAATTCTGTATAAAAGGATACATAAATTATTATTTTCTAATATATGTCTCAAGAAAGAAGGAATTTCATTGTGTCGGCAGATGAATGTGTCAAAAGTTATATGGATATTTCCAAGGGCGAGAAAATAGACTTTCTCTAATGTCATCTGCCTTAAACGTCCTGCTATGTAATATAATATATCGAGTATAACATTTTAGAAATAAAAAAAGACATTGAATCTCTCTATGGCTCTGTTCGATCTGCGCAAGTTTCCGAATCCAGACGGAGGAATGAAAAGTTCTTAAAGTTCATGGGAATGCAACGAGAATTAACATCAAATCGGATATAGAATTCTATCATTGCACTTGATTCGATACTTCAAGAATAAGAAATTATTCGTCAGGTGGATTAGAATTTGTCTCTCGGCGAGTAAAAAAATTATTTTTCAAGAAATGCGCGCGATGCTGTTTCTCGGAAAGTATGTAAAAGAAGTCACTATACTCAGGAAATGTAATAAATTACTACTCAAGAGATATAAAAGTTGACTTTCTCTCTCTCTTTCTGACAATTATCCTGCATATGATCCACTAAGGATTAATACCGACCAAGCGTTAGAGAGTGAGATGGCATGGCGTAAAGCATCAAGATCCTTAGAAACATTTTCTATGCACGATGAACGGTCCTAGCTCGTCGTACTCCTGCCTGGAAATCCACATCTGCTGGAACGTGCTGAGACTGGCGAGGATCGAGCCGCCAATCCAGACAGAGTATTTCCTCTCGGGCGGCGCGATCACTTTGATCTTCATGGTAGGCGGCGCAAGCGTTGTTATCTCCTTCTGCATCCGATCGGCGATGCCTGGATACATGGTGGTGCCGCCCGAGAGTACCGAATTGGCGTACAGATCCTTACGGATGTCGACGTCGCACTTCATGATCGAATTGTACGTTGTCTCATGTATGCCGCAGGATTCCATGCCCAGGAAGCTCGGCTGGAACATCGCTTCCGGGCAACGGAAGCGCTCGTTGCCGATCGTGATGACCTGGAATCGAACCATTACCCGTTATACGTTTTCGTCCACTGACCGTGCCGGCCAGGCAATCCATGACGAGTTAACGTTAGCCGGGCGCGAACGCGCGTGATTAATGCTAATGAGCGTACTGCCCCCTCCATTATCGTCGCTCATTATGCTTAGACATCATTTGAAAAATTGTGTCTTGCAATTTTCACGTCATTACATTTTTGATTGAAAAGAAATAATTTTATACATTAAGATATTTTATTCTTCTTTCATTTTTAAATTTTTGCTAAAAAAGATATTTTAATATATCTTTGTTTATACCGACAAAGAGAATCCTTTTTATTTTCTCGGAGTCACGATCAAAAAGGAAGCAGATTTAATATACTCGTTGATTACGCAAAACGCGAATGCTACATTCATGATCCGGACGTTACCTGGCCGTCCGGCAATTCGTAGCTCTTCTCTAACGCGGTCGATGCGGCGGCCGTTGCCATTTCGTGCTGGAAATCCAAGGCCACATAGCACAGTTTCTCCTTGATATCGCGCACGATTTCGCGCTCGGCGGTGGTCGTGAAGGTGTAGCCCCTCTCGGTCAAAATTTTCATCAAGTAATCTGTGAGATCGCGGCCAGCCAGATCCAAGCGCAGAATCGCGTGCGGTAAGGCATATCCTGAGGAAAAAGAAAAAAAAGAGCATTGGAACATCAAGCAATGTAAAATTGATACTGACTCATTTTTCTTTTCAGATCGCGTGGTAGTGCGATTGAACGAAGCTGTGATAGAGAGCAAGCAGAGGAGAATTGTACCTTCGTAAATCGGTACCGTATGAGACACCCCGTCACCGCTGTCAAGCACGATGCCGGTCGTGCGTCCTGACGCGTACAATGACAGGACGGCCTGGATGGCGACGTACATGGCCGGAGTGTTGAAAGTCTCGAACATGATTTGCGTCATTTTCTCGCGATTCGCCTTGGGGTTCAGGGGCGCCTCCGTCAGCAGAACAGGATGTTCCTCTGGTGCGACTCTCAGCTCGTTGTAGAATGTGTGATGCCAGATCTTCTCCATGTCGTCCCAATTAGTGACGATACCGTGCTCTATTGGGTACTTGACGGTGAGGACACCCCGTTTGCTTTGCGCCTCGTCGCCCACGTAACTGTCCTTTTGTCCCATGCCCACCATGATTCCCTATATAAACATGTCCTTACGATTAGAGAATAATCAATTATGATATTACGAAATATATTACGAGATGCGATCATGCAAACTTGATGATATCTATTTGTTTTTTCTTCTTCACCTGGTATCGGGGTCTCCCAACGATGGAAGGAAACACGGCTCGAGGAGCATCGTCCCCGGCGAATCCGGCCTTGCACATTCCCGAGCCATTGTCGATCACCAGTGCAGCTACGTCGTCGTCGCACATTTTAGAATATTATATGCGGAAATAATTTCACAACAATTTTCTCGATTTAGCGAGATTTATAGGGGATAGCGCTTGCGGCGGATAAATAGGAGTTAAGGACTCAATCAGGAGACTCGAAGAAGACTAGATGTTACAACGTCCTCGCGTGACATTGGCTTCCGGAGCATTGCGCTTCCTCCTAGAAGAAAGAGTTGCTTTATATATAAGTTCCCCTCCTCTCCCATCATAGATCCGCGACCACGCATATCCGTGTTTTTGTACAAAGACCTCGGAAATAGTGTATCTTCCAATCGGCTTAACACTTAATACAGATTTCTCTTGTAATAAACGCAAAAAGAAATACTTTCGTTTACTATACAAGGAAGATTTGCAAATTGACTTTGATCTTTTGGTAAAACCTGTTTATAAATTTGCGAATTACATGATGAATACATTTTAACAATGAGAATACAATCGGATAAATATAATGTGTAGGATTTGGCTTTTTACATTAAATATAACATGTGCATAAATTATACGTGAATAAGAATACGCGTTTAAGAAGGCAGATGCACTTGAAGATAAAAGTATCAAAATTTTTTAGACATGTTTAAGTTTCTAAAGAATCGTCAAAATCTTCAAAACGCTTTGCTGTGAAATCATGTTTTTTTTCAACCTTTTTTGTGTACCTTTTTCTTGGAAACTATCGATGCAATTGTTATCAGTTTGTAATTTGTTCAGAAATAAGTAAATTGATCATTCGAATTTAAAGTCCTCAATAAATTGCGTTTATTCAACCCATGATTAAAACGCCAAAAGAGCTTACTCAGTAAAACCATCAATTAAAAAATAGAAAAAGAGAAAGAAAGCGAAAACAAAAATTATTCAGAAAATTATTCTGTTTGTGCAGTGTTGAAAAAGGAACATGAAGATAAATAGTTTTGCTATACGATTTTGCATCCGCCCCCTTAAAAATATATTCCGCTCTTAGAAGTATATGATACAACAAAATACATAATGTTATAATCATGTTTGGTCACCATTCGATATTACAGATAGCAGTCCTTCACCCAGACCCACATGCACACATATATTACATTTTCGAGAATATCTACAATTTTTTTATAATAAGTGAGTTAATTTCTTTTTAATGTATGCCAATTATAGCTTGCGGTTAGCGCTCGTTATGTTATCTACGTTGAATGCATAAAGTCATCGCGGTAATTGGAGCATACGTCTCTATGTTCCTGCAATCGTATTGCATCTATCTGCAAATCTGCACAGTAGATTGCAATCTCTTTAGATATTACGCGCGAAAAATGTAATTTCGTTTGTGCTAGTTTCTCAAGCGAATGTATTCTATTGAAAGATAAGGAAATGCATTCATTGAAATTTATTTAAGAACTGTCCGTAGATTACAGCTAAAGCTAAATCGAGCCAACGAGGCAACGGTAGAATGGTGGAATCGTTATCTCGTTCAATGATTCCATTCTATATAAGTCACAGAATCATCGAGCGACAAAATTGAACAAAAAGTAAAAGAAGTAACACACACGAAAGTTCATAAGGTTAATAAGCTAAAATATCTTAATTGTTTTAAATTGTGCCCTCCCATAAATGTGTGCACTTTTCTAAAAATAGATAATCGAAGTACTGCTCAATGAAACATATTCAATGAGTTTTAAAAGATTTACATTATTTTTAGAAAAAAATGTGGTGATAACTATTGGCCCTCCAAATTTTACAATAAATTTTTCTGTCATGATATATCATAGAGTTATTAAAATTAAGTTACAGTAAAATATAATCGGATATTATCTTTTATACAAGCATATGATACAAATATCGCTGCAGTTACTGTTGCAAGAATCCTGCATATGAATCACTTTGCAAATATAACACAAGCGCTATTCCTTTTAAGAATACTTAATATACAAACCGTCTTGCATTACAGAGAACCGCTGTTCCGTAGACTGATCGCCTACCAGAGCATCCTTATAATCGTCGTATTACGCTCCTTAATTAACTGTTCGACTAATGATATTAATTAGGCTGTGAAATTAAGTACCCACTTTGGTTTGAAATTTTTGCCTAGATCATTTTTGCATAAACCATTTTTGATATTTTTAACACCATAATGCTACATAGTATGCAATGTAATAAAAAAGCAACGTATAAATAATTTTCGTGTTGATTGATACTATATAAAATATATGATTAATGTTAAAGACAGGCGATACCCTTCGCTTTGCAATTACATTTATGTTCACGCGCGCAAATACAATACACTCACATACATATCCAATTGATCCACAGAAGGTACATATCAGAGAGAATAATATGAAAAAATCAATCAGGAAGAATTACAATGGAAAATATAAATAATTTTATAAATATAAAATGTAAATAATTTATAATAAATTATAATTGTAAATAATTATAATGATTTGTATTGTAAAATGTTTATAACAGTGAAACACAATAATTTTCAAAAATTAGTTGGAAAAGATGCTTCGTTTCAATTATGATATTTAAATTCTCATGTTTAAATTGATTCATCAGTCAAATTCATTGTCAAATTTAGTGAAAAAGAAAAAAATTTATAGAATTTTTTTCTTCAATTTGGTTATTCTGCACGCACCGACTCACACACAAGAGAATATATATATATATATATTCAATTTTAATACAAATATACTGCACAAAAAGCAGTGTGCATTTCCCAATATGGACTTTCTTTATAAAGCAAGTAGACTTTGTAGTAAGAATAAGTTAAGAAGTTTCAACTGTCAACATATTATCATTATGTATATATATCACAACACTATTAAAAGTTTTACTTATCCCAGAGACCGACTTTTTTCATACGCGTTTGAAAGTGTTCCTCCAAGGCATTGGCACATCGGTAATATTCAGTGTCGGGACTATTGTACAATCTGCAGTTAGTGAAGATCCGTAACATGTCCGCTATAAATAATCTCTTAATTACGTAGTATCCCGCGTTCAAACGATCTTGCATAGTTTTGAGATCTGTAACAAGAATAAATAGATCTTTATCTCTTTGCGCATTTGTTATACTCGAATGACTTTTCTTCGTAATTATACAGTCATAAGGCAATATATATATATATAGGCAATATATGCAATTCTAAGTCAGTTAAATGTACAAACACTTTTCTTGTGCTCACCCATAGGATATATTATATGATCATAATAATCTGGAACATCGTTTTTATCTACGGGTTTCAGGAAAGGCCATGCTGTACTGTGCTTCTTCACACTGTTCAAAACACTATTTAATGTGTTATATAGGTTATCTGGCATATCTAAATCTAGGCTTGTGTCTATCGGTTCCGGACCTTGCGCTCCTTTCGTCACAGCCCTCGTTCTAGTTTGAGTGGAGCTTTTCCATCCAGTTTCATGAATACCCGGGATAGACTCGATGGGGATTGCCCTCACGCCTTCTTTAAAACATGTCAAGCCCGGATGCGCTTTCTGTATTTCCTGTTGCCTCTGATGAATCAATTTCTTTAAAATTTCCTTCTGCTTTCTGATAACCGCTGTGAATTCGGTATACACGATCTTTGGATTCAGTTCACAATGCATCAATGTCGCTTTTACGTAATATTTAATGTATCCCTGGTGTACCGATTTCGGCAGTTTTATGTCTTTGCTAAATCCCTGCTTCTTAAAGTATCCAATAGCAAAATCGTCTGCGAATGTGAGAAAATGCAGTATATTGTTCTTGATATGATAATCTTTCAACATATTCATCAAGTGCGTCCCGTATCCTTTTACTTGTTCGTGACTCGTGACAGCACAGAACACTATCTCGGTGAAACCTTGACTTGGAAACATACAGAAACAGATACCGCCAATTGGTCGACCGTCTTTTATCAAGGCTAGTGTTTTGTGCTTTCTATAAGATAAAAAATACATTCTATTACTATGGATGTGACTATATAAATTTATTTAATATACTAACATTAGACTTTAATATTTATTTTATGTATATATTATATATTTATACATTACTCACGGATCAAAAACAAGCTGAGTAATATATTCTTTGAACGTTTCAGGTAATTGATGGCTAAATATATCTTGTAATCCTATCAGCCAGAGCATAGTTTGCTTAGATACTGGTTGTGTAAGGCTATTTCCAACTACATGAAATTCTATTATCTTTTTACTTTCTTCATTTTTAGCAGTTTCGTCTCGCGGGAGGTCCGGTGGAAATACCGCGTCAGAACCGGATATATAATTAGTGTCATTAATAGATGCAACAATTTCAGCAATAGTCTCATCTGGTAGATCCTCGAAAGCCTCTTCGTTCTTTCGCCTCTTTGTGTCAAGACGTACTTCGCTGTTAGGACGTTTCTCCTGAATCTTTTTCACTCCAGGACTGATATTTATTGTTGTAAAATTATCTTTTTGATTCGGAGTTACAGTAACTTTCTCAAATTCTCCCGGTTTTCTTGTCTGATGTCCTTTTGATTCCAAGGCAGCAGATTGAAGATGAGATGGTGGCGATGGTTTAAATTCAGGATCCCAAATAGGTGAATGATTAGAATAAATCTCTTTTTCCAACAATGAAAGAAACCTTGAATATAAATATAAAGATTGTAACTCAGCTGGTATTCAGAAGATATGAACATAAGAAAGAAAAAAGAAATGTAGAACATACTTGGGAAAATGTGTTAAAAGTAAAACTCTTTTCTCTGCCGCTATTTTTTCTATTTCAGTGTGACATTTATCCATTAATTGTTTACAAACTGATCTAAATACAGCTTGTAGCAGAGTCTTTCCAAAAACTAGTGGAGTATCATGATGCGGCAACGAATCGCAAAATGCAGGCACATGGCAGAAGACAAGCCAACGAGTATAATTAATTCTATAAGTATTGACATCATCCATATTTCGTCTGGCACTGGGTGCTTCGAAATTCCAATAATTCAAACAATGTAGAAACATTTTCGCCATATCGCACATTACTTGCCATTCTCTTGGAGGCAAATGACTGAATTTATATAAAACAAAATTCATAACTGCCTTTGCTATGTTTGGTCTTTCGAATGGCGGATGTCCCAACGCGCCTTCTGCAGTCGGTTTTGTCATAGACAAAATACATCTCCTCAATATTTTATATAAAAAAAAATATACTTTCTTAGTATCGGAATCTCCTTCTCTATGTATGCTCATAAAAATATTGTCCGCATCAATAGCCATTCCCAATAATCTATTGATTTCCTCATCAGACTGCACCGGTAGGTGTTTAATATGATTTTCTAAAGTATGAGTACACATCTTGCATGGATCAAAAAAGTTTATAACAGGTTGCTGTGTCTCGCCTTTTTGTGGCTTCGTAATCGGTTGCGCATTTTTCCAGCCATTACATTTGCAATCGTCTGCTTGACAAGCACTATAATTTGCAAGTTTCAATAACTTTTTAATTTGTGGCCAATTGTACATTTGTTGCTTGCGCTGTTGTATCCTCTGGAGGTTGTTTTGTCGATTTGCTTGATTCTGTGGCTTATTAGTTGAATTTGGATCTTTACTTTCCTGTTGCAAAGTACTAGTAATAGATTGGCCAGTCTCTTCCGAAGAAGTTAGTATCGTTTGAGATTTGACGTCCTCGGATGCCATTCTTGAAAAAAATATTACAACATATTATACTGTGAAAACGTAGTTATACATAAATCAAGCGAACATTATAATTTTTTGAAATAAATTAATACATATATTAATTGACGTTAATAGCTTCTACAATATAAGCAAATTAGATTTCAATTCTCGAACGCGAACGAAATTATTTTTATTCCCGATGATATATTGTTGGCTCGAGTATTTCATAATGTTTTGGTTTAAACAATTACGACATTTGTAGGATTCTCACTTTGTTACGATCAGCACATTTTCTATGATATTGTGAATTATGATGTATATTATTATATTGTTGATGTGGAACACGAATTTTTGACAGATTAGGTTATATAAATTGCATCTCTCCAAGTGCATCTCCCTCCCTCACGTCTGTGTCTCTGCACACAAGTCTGTTCGTGTTGCCCGCACTTTCTGCAATCAGACTTTTCGCTTTCTCTTTCTCTCTTTAACACCAAAATATATATTTATCTCGCTTTAAGTGCAGAGATTTTTACGGAGCGCAAGCAATACGAACAGACCTAGAATGATAGTTTTTGCACGCAGGACGCGTCAACGTAGCAAAAAACGACGCAATTAAAAAAATTCTTTACTCTTACAATAATCATATATAAATCTCTAATTTTTTTACTATATTTTTTATAATCAAGTTATCTACCAAGATATAATATTTGTCATCTTATGAGCGCATGTGTGTCCAAATAAAACGCGGTTTTTATGGAGAGATATAAGATATACGCATGTAGAAAATAAATCATTGAACTTTGAAATCCACATATACTTTCATCTCACCATTTCTCATAAATTTAAAAATACGGAAAATATATAAAACGTATGTAATATTTTATTGATTTTTATTTTTTTCATAGTTCTTTTATGAGTATTCCTTCATAGAAATACTATTTTATAATACAGTTAAGGGCTATGTGAAAACTGTGTGCATAATTGTGTGCTTAAAAGTAATAAAGAAATAATATAGACAAATATACATATTTATCATATTTGTATTTTCTTATATTATATCACACAAGAGAAGATGTATTTGAAAAGATTTTACTTATCCCATAGACCAATTTCTTTCATACGTGTTTGAAAATATTTTTCCAGAGCATTGGCGCAGCGATAATAATCAGTATCAAGACTATTATACAATCTACAATTTGTAAAAATTCGTGTCATGTCTGCTATGAATAATCTTCTAGTTACATAGTATCTGGATTTTAAACGTTCTTCCATAGTTTTGAGGTCTGCAATATGAAGAATCATGTACTGTTATATATATATAATTTTATTTATTACTATTTTATTATTTATTGCAATTTTAAATTTTATTGTTTTATCATTATACTTTTTATTATTTTATTATTAGAAAGTTTTTACCATCTTAAAACTAATAATTTTTTTTGGAAAAGATTTCTCACCCATAGGATATTTTATATGATCATAGTAATCTGGAACATCGTCCTTATCTACAGGTTCCAAGAACGGCCAAGCTGTACTGTGATTCTTTACACTATTTAAAACACTGTTCAAAGCATTATATAGAGAGTCTGACATATCTATGCAATCCACTTCTGAACTTTGAGTTCCTTTCGCCAGACCTCTCGTTCTCGCTTGCGCATAACTCTTCCATCCGGTTTCCCGAATTCCTGGAATGGATTCTACGGGAATGCCTCTCACACCCTCTTTGAAGCATGTTAAGCCAGGATGAACCTTTTGTATTTCTTGTTGCCTCTGATAAATTAATTTCTTGACGATCTCTTTTTGTTTTCTTAGAACTGATGTAAATTCGGTATATACGATTTTAGCATTTAATTCGCAGTGCATTAATGTCGCTCTTTCATAATCTTTGATATATCCTTGATACATCGATTTCGGTAATTTTATATCTTTGCTAAATCCCTGCTTTTTAAAATACCCAATGGCAAACTCATCCGCAAATGTAAGAAAATGCACTATATTGTTTTTTATATGATAATCTTTCAACATGTTCATCAAATGCGTCCCGTATCCTTTTACTTGCTCTTGACTTGTAACAGCGCAGAACACTATCTCGGTGAAGCCCTGAGTAGGAAACATGCGAAAACAAATACCGCCGATTGGACGACCGCCCTTTATCAGAGCCAGTGTTTTATGCTTTCTGTGTGTAATAAATAATATATATATATATTATTGCTAAAGATAACTTGTTATGCGATAAATTAATTAATACATTACTGATATTTTAGATAAGGTATACTCACGGATCAAAAACAAATTGAGATATATATTCTTTTGGCATTCTGACTAATTGATGGCTGAATACATTATGTAATCCTATCAGCCAAAGCATAGTTTGCTTAGACACAGGTTGCGTAAGACTGTTTCCAACAATGTGAAATTCTATGATTTTCTCACTTTCTTCATTTTTAGCAGTTTCATCCCGTGGACCGTCCGGTGGAAAGACCGCATCAGGACCACACATATAATTGGGGTCATTAATAGTCGCAACAATTTCAACAATGGTCTCGTCAGGCAGATCTTCAAAAGCCTCCTCGCCTTTTCGTTTTTTTGCATCGTGTCGTCCTTCGGAATAAGAACGCTTTTCGGAAAACTTTCGTATTCCAGGACTAATATTGATTGTAGTGTAATTATCCTTTTCATTTGGTGTCACAGTGACTCTTTCAAATTCCCCTGCCTTTCTTGCTTGGTGTCCCTTTGATTCCAATGCAGCTTGCAAATGAGAAGGCGGTGCTTGTTTAAACTCGGGGTCCCACATAGGTGATTGATTATTATAAATTTCTACTTTTAGCATCGAAAGAAACCTTGAATATTTATGATTATGTAGCAGCTGTTCTATTAATAGTACAGTAATATACAAAGAGGAGAAAAATTTAAGACATACTTAGGAAAATGAGTTAAAAGTAAAACTCTCTTCTCTGGCGTTATTTTATCTCTCTCGTTATGACACTTGTCCATTAATTCTCTACAAAGTGGTTTGAATACAGCTTGTAACAAAGTCTTTCCAAATATCATAGGAGTATCATGATGAGGTAAAGAATCACAAAACGTAGGTACATAGGAAAACATAAGCCAGCGGGTATAATTAATTCTGTAAGCGGGGTTTAGATCCAAAACACTTGTTCGTTTAGCGCTGGATGATTCAAAATTCCAACAATTCAGACATTGCAGAAACATTTTTGCCATGTCACACATTACTTGCCATTCTCTTGGGGGCAAATGACTGAATTTAAATAAAACAAAATTCATCACTGCCTTTGTTATACTAGGTTTTTCGAATGGCGGATGTCCTAATGGGCCTTCTGCAGTTGCTTTTGTCATAGACAAAATACTTCTCCTCAATATTTTATATAAATGAAAATATACCTTCCTAGTATCGATATCTTCTTCTCTGTGTATACTCATAAAAATATTGTCTGCATCAATAGCCATTCCTAATAATCTATTGATTTCATCATCAGACTGTACAGATAGATGCTTAATATGATTTTCTAAAGTATGAGTACACATCTTGCATGGATCAAAAAAATTTAAAACAGGCTGCTGTATCTCGCCTTTCTGTGACTTTGTAATCGGTTGTGCATTTTTCCAGCTGTTACATTTGCACTCTTCTACTTGACAAGCGCTGTAACTTGCAAGCTTCAATAATTTCTTGGCTTGTGGCCAATTGTACATTTGCTGCTTGCGTTGCTGTATCCTCTGGATATTATTTTGTCTACTTCCATGACTTTGCAATTTATTGGAATTTGAATCTCTAACATTATTTTCCTGTTGTAATGTACTAGTAACAGTTTGTCCAGTTTCTTCCGAGGAAGCTGCCATTGTTTGTTGATTGATATCCTCAGATGCCATCCTAAAAAAATTGTTATAACATTTTATATTATATTGAAAACAAAGCTACAATTACATACAGATAATTTTTTCAGTAAATTAATGTCTACTTACATCAAAAGCTTCTCCCACAATATGAATTAATTAAATTGCAATTCACCACAAATCAAGTTAATTATGCTTTTATTCCCCATGTTGTTCATTAACTCGAATATTTAATAACAATATTTTAGCCGATTACGATATTTTTTTACATACCATGATAGTACGGCCACATTTCTACAATTTGTTGGTACTGTTATTGATTTAAATTACTTCTTTTTTTCAATTGAACAGTGCGTTTAATTTAGAAAGAATTTACTTAGCACACATATATTTTTACTTTTCAGGTCATAAGGTTATATTACCAATAGAGTCCTTTTTTATTCTGTCTCTCTCTCTCTCTATTCTTGATATCTCGCTATTCTGCACTATTTTGAATCAGCTGTCCTATATTATTAGTAAACTGCAATTCTCCCCTCTAGAGTTGCATTCAAAAACCTATTTGTCAAAATAGAATTTTCGATCGATCAATTAGGACAAAAGATTTCTTTGTCTACTGTACTCCGATGAACAGATTTTTGAACGCAATCTTGCGCTGCTCTCCCGCCATCATGTGCCATGTGAGAGAGATAGAAAAATCACATGATCACATATCAGACAAAATGAAAATTGGGAAATAGCATTTCATTAATGGATAGATACCTATAAAGGAAAGAAGAAGAAGAAGCAATAATAAGAGAGAGAGAGAGAGAGAGAGAGAGATAATAAGAGAAAGAATTATTCTTAAAAATTATTCAAAATAACAAGGAGTTCAATCTCGATGATTCCAGAATAGAGAGATTTGATTGTATGAGAATTGTTCGTTACACACATACATATACATATACGCTTTCGCGCGTATGGTACAGATCAGTATATACCGTGTTCTTTGTAAACTGAAAGCGGATCGAAGAAGCTGCAACGTGCTATCGGCGTTGAAGAGTACTACTTTGTGTCTTTGAAAGACCCATCAATAAGAGAAGTGGACCTATAAAGTTTAAGAGAAATAAACTGCAGAATAGCAAAACGATACGTTCTTGCGCTTAGCGAGAGGTTAGAAATTCGCAGCACAGTAAGCACGGTTTGTTTACGAAGAGATGGCAGAGAATTTTGGAAGGGAAACGCCATCGGCTTACAACGAAGAAAGCAAGACTGCAGGTCAACCGTTGTCGGACTTTCTGTTGCAATTAGAAGATTATACACCCACGGTATTAACCTGCTCTTTTGTTGAATAAAGTTCTCTAGATTTCTGATGTTTATTGTGTGAAGCATGTTACTAAAATTGTGTTTATATGTTTGTGTTTATGTACATATCAAGTGCATTGCATATTTTGTATGTTCATATTAGGTACCTGATTCCATCAGCGAGCATTACTTGCATACAGCTGGTTTCAACACTACAGATCCTAGAATGTAAGATTAAATATATGTTACTATTTATATATTTATATGTTATTTATACATGTCTCATTCAATAAGAATCTTTTCAACTGGAAATGTAATATCTATTCAGTAATTTTGTTCAATATTGATATGTATTTTAGAGTACGTCTGGTATCTCTAGCAGCACAAAAATTTATCTCGGAGATTGCCAATGATGCGCTGCAACACTGCAAAACGCGTGGTGCCAATCAAAACGCAAAGACAAAAGGGAAAGATCGACGTTATACATTGACAATGGAAGATTTGACACCAGCAGTTGCAGAATATGGAATAATAGTGAAGAAACCACATTATTTTGTTTGAAAATTTGAAAACTATCAATGTAATTGAATATGTTTATTTTGTGAATGTTTTTTTACAAAGCATTATATTGATGGCACCGATATAAAGTAACTGCATTTGGGTGCAAAAGTCTTTCATAAACTAAATGAGAGAGAGAATTGGATATATAATAAAACTGTATGAATAGTGTTCTGAAAGAGAGTTACTATTATAATATATTTTATTGGTGACTTTATTGGTTAGTATATATGTTAATCATTTGGCTATATTATTGCTAATGTTTTTGTAAAGATTTAAGGATGTATTTAATAAATGTAATGTGTGTGTAGTAAAAAGTCATTAGTATATCAAACAGGATAAAAACCAAGTAGGTTTTCCACTTGGGATATGTCAGATTCTATTTTTCTTGTCTTGATTGGTCAATCGAACACTACTCCAATCAGTAAATTTTAGAATGCAACTCTGCGCATGCGCGAGTTTGTCCCACATTCTAATGTAGATAGCTGCTCTATATATTCTTAAGTTTATATGCATCTTCCTTCAAAGCGCTGTAAATACAAAACCCCATAAAGATATGCGACAATTATGATGATGACTAATTGAAACGTTGATCGCAAAGAGATTTATTTCGAGTTGGATTACCCGATTAATGGGCATATCATTAGCTAAACAGAGTAACATCAAAATGAGCAGGTACGTGCGTTAACCTTGTATTGTGATTAACCTAAATTTATAACTGCGTCTTTTTACATAAACGAACGTAACTCTTTAGTTCCGAGAGCGGTGAATCTGGGAGGAATGTCAAGCAGGATCAGTCAAAAAGCAGCGCGAGACCGCTGTCAATCGAAGGTCCTTCTACCTCCAATAATGCCTCACAACCGTTACCGAATCAACCGAGACAACCAACCAATCTGCAAGGGCTGCTCAAATACGCTATGGACGCGGCGCAGTCTGAGGATGCGGAGAACAAATCACGGGTCTATCCTTTGGATGAAGAAGTATGACATTTAATTTAATTAATCAGATGCTTTAAGGTTTTTAATTTGTTCGATGCTTGTACGTTGCGCTGTGTGTTGCAGAAAAAAGCATTCTTGAACGAAGCATTATCGTCGTTAACGGTGAACGTAATAGAGGAGATGCAGAAAGCAGTGCATATCTTGTCCAGTGCTGGCGATCTACGAGCCGACGACGATTCATCCGAATACGAGAATGCATTGGAGAGAATGGTAGATCTTGTCGACAATATCGACATAGCCAACGATTTTTACAAGATCGGAGGTTTTGCGATATTTCAACCGTGCCTGAACTCATCGCACAGCACTATCAGATGGCGGATTGCCGATATTATTGCCGAATTAGCGCAGAATAATCCGTTTTGTCAAGACAAGCTACTCGAAGCTGGAGTATTCCCTATACTGTTGTCCATGATCGATACAGATCCATCAGAACTGGCGAGAATAAAAGCTTTGTATGCAGTATCGTGTAAGTAATGGAACGATGTAAGCTCGGTTTCCTTGACTTTTATCTCCTATTAGTTATATTTCGAATGCAGGTATAGTCAGAGGACATCCGGCGTCGTTAAAGTATATGGACACAAACGACGGTTACTCGGTGCTTTTGCGAGCGATGCAGAGCCCGGTGGAGAAGTTGCAGATAAAATCTGCGTTTTTGCTCTCCAGTTTATGCAGTAAGGACGACTCGAGCGATATAAAATGTACCTTAGTGAAAATGGGATTTATAGAGCAAGCCGCAGGTTTGTTGGCTAGAATGAATCTACAGCCGACAGTCAGGTAATGTATCTATACCGTTTTGAGGCAAAGCATTGTGATTTCTGACATATTACTCTTGATAATATATTTGATCGGGTATATTATTTTTATCGTAGAGAACAATTATTGAGAGTCCTTAATGGTATGGTAAATGATAATTTTTTGCCGGCACTGAAGGAATGTCGGCGTCCACAGTTGTGTTTAAAATTTACTTTGGAGCAATTATTGACAGAATTAAAACCTGTAGAAAATCAGGATGAGATAGACATGTGTTCTGAGCTCCTGGATAAAGTGTTTTTCGAACCTGACACTAATCAAGAAAGATAACAAAATTGTGTATCATAATCTTTTCCCCTCTGTGAATAAAATTATAATATTGCTTCATAAATTATCTTACGCGCGTGCGCGTATATCTACCATTATTTTCTTTTGTAAATCTAACATTTATCTGTAGTTTTGGATATTTTTAATTTTAAGAAATATATACCGTGTGTGTGATAACACAAATAAAAACTGCTACATTAAATACTAAACAAATCGACCGGAATATTTCATCGTAAAAAAAAAAGATTATAAAAACCTGTATAATCGAACTACACATTTACAAAATATCAACTTCCGACTAAAGACTAAACTAACTATCAATGATCGACTAAACTAATCAATTGAAACTTTACGTTTCCCATATCTTTTTCCTCTTTCGTGTCTCATATTTATTATTTGTATATATGACTTTCTAAATTTTTTAAATTAGAAAGTATATTTGAAAACATATTAGCGTGTGTGAATTAGCTCTCTTTCTCTCTGGGTATACTCCGTTATACGTAACTAGCTTTTTTCCCTGTATTAATTCGATGAACGGTACGCTCACGTACATCCGGGCACGATGCGTCAATCAGACGACGCGTTTCATCATCCATCCCCACCACGCAACCTCTGTTGGCGTGTACTCTACCACTTTCCTCCGTCTCTTCACTGGTTCATCGTGTGCTCCATCTCCCTCTCACCCTCTCTTTCTCCTTTTGGCGGACGTCTTCTGGTCTAGTTAAACCGAACGTCAGCCGGCAAGCAGTCAGCCGGTAGTTCTCATCGGATCTCGACATGTGATCGTCCCTCTGCCGGAATTCTCCAAATGTCTCGAAAATCTCGCCCGCTCGTTCGAGTTGGAGATCCTAAGGAAGATTCTGGGAGATCATCCGTTTTCTTGGAGCGGATCTCCCGCGCTCGGCCGACCGATTGACCCAAGATCGATCCTGAGGATCGAGAGGAAGAACAATCAGTGATCAACCACCATGGAGCAATGATCGACAGTCGCAATGAGCGCGAAAGAGGAGCGTCATCGCTATAGAACCCGCCGACCGACGTTACGTCGAGACATCTCGCAAATTGAAGTCACCGACGAATTAGCATCCTCGTGAGAGATATAAATTGGAGAGAACGGATACATCGACGTTAATCGGATGATCGAGAATCGACACGACGATCATCGGCGTCGAGAGTGAGAGCTCCACGTTTGACCACGTGGGTTGCCGCTGATCGATAAGGATCCGACCCAAGAGCGAAGAAGAGGTCTGTCGGTGATATTTCATTCAATTGAGAGAATTTCTCAGAGCGCATAAATCGCTCTCTTTCTCTTTCTCTTTCTTTCTTTTCGACAGAATTTATTTTGCAATGCACGCGAGAAGATGCAAAATCAACTCAGTTGAAAATTTTCACCCCGAAAAAGGCGAAAGATGATTCCAAACGGAAAAAATTTTTAGAAAAACTTGATACACTTTACGACCGCGCGATAACTAACTTGCCAATTTGTACTTTCTTGTGATAAGACAGACCACGCTCTCGAATTCTTTAAACTCTCGACGACAGACGGTGGAGTATATCACGGAATATTGAACTTTGAATTGTAAGATATTATCCGACAATATTATTTGATGTGCTAATTGAAGCAATTAGTCAGCAAGAGACAAAGCAAAGAAGAGATAGAGGGAAGATTAAAGAAAGAGAAGAGAGAGAGCGAGAATCGCGAAAAAATTGTTGGCCGATCTTCTCTCTCGCAACAAAAAGCACGAAAATGGAGAACGGACACGATGACATCGATAACAATCTTTGGGTGTTCGGATATGGATCGCTCTGCTGGCATCCTGGTTTTTCGTACCTCAGAAGTATGACTGGATACGTGAAGGGCTTCGATAGGCGGTTCTGGCAAGGTAACACCACGCATCGTGGGACGATCGAAAAGGTGAATTGTCCTTCAATTTTTCTCTATTCGTTGTTCTTTTCTCTCTTTATTATTACCAATTATCGTATATGACTGACTTAATGTCTAATAGACCGTCTCTAATAGAGACGCACATAGAATAGAATTGACTCTATCTAGGAATGTATACGCGGTCCAGTAGGAGGCGAATTGAATGAGATAACGAGTCCATTAGATAAAATTGGATTTAAATTTTCCACGAAGTGCTAAAATAGAGGTATAAGCGATTTATTCGAGAAGATTATATGAAGTTTTGATAAATATAATGAAATTGCTTTTTTCGAACGCGCGACCACTCGATTAACAAATTCATATAATTATTAAATATTTGATAAAAACGAATATTGAAAAATCTTGTAGTGAAAGTAAGTATTTAATATATTTAAAAAAAATTTTTTTACAGCATGATGTTACCAATATTATTCCGGCGGCTTTGTGTACTGATACTCGACATACATTTTCGGTTTACGTGATAATAAAAACTGGAACAGCTGTACGGACTTTGGATAAAGCAAACATCCGTATGGCAATGACCCTATCGTAATGCGATAAAATAACAAACAGAATTTCACAATTATTAATGCAAAACTAATCACGTCTGCAAACGGTGATTGGAAAATGTTTGTAATCAGCTAAAAAAAAAACACGTTTTTTTATGTGTTATTATGACGCTAATTTAATGGAAATGTCAGAAATTAATTCCAAATTTGCATATAATAAACTATAAATCGAAATGTGTAAAGTGGACTTCTTTCGTTGGTATCAGAAGAGAAGCAAAATTATATGTGAATTGTTTTGTTAGAACTAATGTAAGACTGCACGTTCGTTTCAAGAAAATTTCGAATCAGATTGATCGTTCGCTAAAAAAAGAACAAACAGGAACTGATAATAAGGCTAAGGTTGACCAAATCATGAATGTCCAAGCAAGGTCGGCGAGTTTTTACAGCTGTCTTCTACTCGTCTGCAAGAATATTTGATTTATCGTTAACTTATTAATCATTACGTCACATCATCGTATTATCACTGATAATTTGATAAATTTACATTTCGCTATGTTATTAAATATCGACTTTTAATTAAACCGCGTAGAAATTAAAACTAGTAACTAATGCGTATATGTCTTTCTCTCTTTCTCTTTCTTCCGAGAGTTGAATTATTTTTAAATGGTTTTCTTTCAACGGTATCTATTGCGTTATCGCTGATGGCGATGCAGTCGCGATATCTATAACATATTCTCGCGTATTAAATATATATATGTATTTATACACGCGTGATTTCTGTGTCGAATCACGTGACTTATATATTCGCGCGAATATTCTATTAATATCTTAATTTTGTCGCTCGCCGTGGCATTCTTTTCCTAACTTGGCATAATTCCAAACACGTATATGAAAAGATACGTTTTTATGCGCATTGATCGTTTATATAGACGCGTGTCCCGGTTCGATAAGAGTTCGTCAACGCTCATTTTGATAAAAAAATATGCGCGGACGAAATTTATACAGATGCAACACGAAATACAAATATATATGTATAACGCTCTCGTGAATCTCCTTTCTTGTTCCCCTTTATTCTAAAATAACGCGCGCGAAAAGTTACTTTATTTATTTTTATTTATTTTATCCGTACGTCCCCCCCGTTTTAATTTCTTAAACGCAAGGAACGAAAAGGATAGACGTGGCTTTTGATATTTACAGAATTGTTTTTTTTTTTTGCGCAAAACTATTTTCCGAGAATAATCGTCTAGAAATATTAAGATTACATAACGACATTTTGTATAAGAAATGTGCCTCCAAAGCGGAATTTCATGAACATTTATTTTTCTCGGAAAACGAATTTTATCTATGATACATATTAAATAAAAAGAAAATGCCGACATGTATCCACGCTCGTAAAAGATCGATAAAATGAGTTCTTTAATAGAACTGTGGTCGGAAAACAGGAAATTACTGTTTTTATTTATTGTTAGATATAAGTTTCATATAGAAACTGTTGAAACTCGAAGATATTTCTAGGAAATCTTGCTGATAAAATATTAAAAGTATAATGTTTTCATTTTTTTAAGAACTTGCTCTTTACACCAAGTGAATGTTTGCGCTTTGCGTTACGCTTACGTATAAATTACGTGAAATTGTATATATAACCAGTTAGAAACCAGTAGTAACCGATATCTTTAAAGAGAAAGATTAGCTCCGTATGTGTGTGTTATTGTACATTACTCTTTGTTTGATGTAACGTTTCGCAAGAGCGTGATATATATTTTCTGCTTATACAAATTTATATTACATATTATAAAAAGAAAAAGGAGTAATATAATAATAATCTAAAATACGATATACATTTTTTTATAAAGCAATATCTCTCTCTTTAAGATACATAATTATTCTGAATACGAGTTTCGTTCCATCGCGAAAAGATTTTCAGATTCGCAACTTGATTTTTTATACATGATTCTTATTTTTTTATCTCTTATTTAATTTATCGAATATTATGCAATAATGTTATTCCTTTTTTATGTTACAGCCTGGACGAGTTGCCACATTGATCGAGGATAAAGAGGTACTTACTGCAATTTATATCAAAGTAATTAGTAATGTCGTAATTATAATAAATGATACAATGATTCTTTGAGGAAAAGTATGGGAATCTCGTGTGCAATTAAGATCTTTTCTTTGCCGACAGGGAATAGTTTACGGGCGAGCCTTCCAAGTTCAGGATAGCGCGGCATTGTCCTATCTGGAGAATCGCGAATGCTCTCTTGGAGGATACCTGACGACCATCGCGACGTTTCACAGTCGGGACGAGGGCAAACAGTTCTCTGTGATAATTTATATCGCCACTAACAAGAACGAGCAATGGCTCGGTGAGGCGTCGTTGCAGACCATAGCCCGTCAAATCACCGAGTGTTCCGGTCCGAGCGGGCACAACGTCGAGTATCTCCTACGGTAAGAGGCGCCCGTGCAACGAACTTCCTCTATATCCTTATCCCATTTTCGAGCAACGAAGGAAGACTGTTATTTGAATTAAATATCACACTCTGTTCGATTATAATGATTCTTTCGAAGCAACGCGAAAGAAAATTAATATTAAATGCAATTTGGCTATTACATATTAAAATAGCATTTTTATTTTATATAAAAAGAAACAGAAAAAAAGAACTGTTTATCTGTTAATATTTTACGCGATATATACTCTTTACTAATATTTTATTAATCTATAAGTAATATAATGAAACGATGCGTTTACATGTGACCGGTGACAGGTTGGCTGACTTCATGCACCGTTACTTGCCGGAGGCGCACGACGAGCACCTTTTCACGCTGGAGATGCTGGTGCGCTCGCGAATAAAGGAAGAGAACATGTGCCTGGCGACGTTGATGGGTAATCGCGACTTCGTCATCGACCTCGACGAGGACGCGGAATTGGCAGGTCGCGCGGAAGCTAACGAACGGCCACCCCGCGAGAACTCCTTCCAGTTCAGCGCGCGGATACCATCCAAGAGCTTGCGTTGCGTGAAAATGTAGTCGATCGAGTTCGCACATAGTCGCGCAAATTTTCGATCGGAGATATGTGCGTGCAGTTATGGCGAATGGAAGCAAAGCGGCAGCTTTTCTTACGTGACGTTCAAGTACAAATGACTGTTTCGATAAAGGCGTAAACTAGTAGCAGGATTACGTTCCCATAAGGAATGCGAGTTAAAAATCCTGGGCAAATCAAACCTGTAAAAAAAAGCTCTCGAAAGCTTTGCTACATATATGATTTTTCGTTGGCGATACGCGAGAACACGAATACGCTTTTTTATCGCGGCCGATATATATCGGCTCTGGTCTAAATTTAAAAAGCAGCTGCACATTCCATTGGGAATATAGTTTCGCTGCCGGTATACGTCTTCCTCTTAGAGGCTATTCTATCATACGTGTTTATGAGACGGCTGTGTTAATTTTGTATCGCGCAACGTGCTGGACACGTGCACGCTTAGAGATCGCGAACTTCGCCACTTCCTATTTTATAACGCCGATTTACTCTCAGCTACGTATTATTTTTTTAAATGTAAAACATTTCTCATTTTTATTTTGACAGAGAGCGAGAATGATAATGCGTGCGTGGACAAAATAAAATCGAAATTTTCCAAAGTCTGAGATATATACAAAGATAGAGTTTTTGTAAAATGTTTATTAGTGAAGCATGTTTTTTATATTGAGGACTATACGTATCTCGCTCAATCAAATCGACTACGATTCACTTGATTCTTGCTAGGAAATGTATTACAGTAATCTTTATAATCGAAGTCTTCGATGTTACGTCAGATCGAACATTGTTTCAGTTATGAACGTCGATTTCTTATGATAAAGAGAAATCCGCCGCGCACAGTTGAAGTTTTCGAATCGACTCGAACAACAAATAACGACTTGCCCGCGCGGGTCTTTACAGAATGGACATACACCGGCGTCCGTCACGCATCGTGACGTTAGAACCAGCCAGGTATCTCAGGGATAACGTTACTCCGTAGTATAGTGCATCCACTGTCCTGTAATTCCCATTAAGAACACCAAACGGGTATCGATCGGAGTCTTTAATTAAAAGCTAACATGAAATGTATATTTAATTTTTTTCTCGAAAACGTAGGAAGAGGGGGAAATTTTTGATAAAAGATATGTCAACTTTATATTTTTTAAAATATATTAAACCATTGGGAATATAGTTTCGCTGCCGGTATACGTCTTCCTCTTAGAGGCTATTCTATCATACGTGTTTATGAGACGGCTGTGTTAATTTTGTATCGCGCAACGTGCTGGACACGTGCACGCTTAGAGATCGCGAACTTCGCCACTTCCTATTTTATAACGCCGATTTACTCTCAGCTACGTATTATTTTTTTAAATGTAAAACATTTCTCATTTTTATTTTGACAGAGAGCGAGAATGATAATGCGTGCGTGGACAAAATAAAATCGAAATTTTCCAAAGTCTGAGATATATACAAAGATAGAGTTTTTGTAAAATGTTTATTAGTGAAGCATGTTTTTTATATTGAGGACTATACGTATCTCGCTTTTAAGTGTTTATAAGCATTCTAATACTGCGAATGTATAATTCGTACATATATAATTAATTCACTGACGCGCGAATGCGTCGGAATTTTAAAAAGACGCATATCAATTGTGTTTATGATATGTATATCATATTTCATTATTTAATCTCTACTAATTTTTACATCGTAAATGACAATCGTTATAAAACATTGTCGACAAAATGGAACATATGAAATATTCGGTATTTATATACGTATAACGTCATTAATGTCGTTTGAAAAAAGTTTGATTAATGATCGTTTTCCGAAAGCATGTATGCATATTATATAGCGTGGAAATTTACGTAACGACATGTATCGTGCACTTCGCTCATCCTCTTGTTGCAATGATATTTACTGTGAAAAGCGAATGAAAGACGCTGCATGCAACAAATTGGACATGGCCGGCATGAAGAAGTTAACAACTCGCATACGAGCCAACTCGAGCGTGTACGGCGTATACGCTTCGTTTCGCTGAAATAATAACGAAGAGATCCCCCCAGACCCGACCTGGTGTGTCGTCACGGTGTAAGCAGGAATTTCTTGTTCTCCTTTCCTTTACATTTTCACCGAAAATTACAAAAAATCCCCGGCAAAATCCGTAGGAGGACGCGAAAGTTCTCGGAATTAATATCGTACTGTTGCAATTCGAGAAATTAAATTCCTAACTCGAGAAATTAAATTTCGCCAAAAAAGTTTTGTAAAATATTTCATTCGAAATATCTGATAATTAAAGTCTTCTGTCTCGATTGACACGCATTTGTTTCATCTAAGAATCATCGATCAATTGAAAAAGATCAACTCGAGAAACCGTGTTCGATCAAATTTATAATCAACTCTTTTATCAATAAGTATTGAAATTTTTCAATTCCTCTGTGGTATTGTATCGCGTATCTAGAAAATCAACCAGATGCGAATCTGACGATTACTGCCATTAGGTGACACACGCTGACACCCACGGTCCTCCAAGGGCTTTCGCGCGTGCGGCCAACTGTGCAAGAAACGTCCTACACGCGGGAACGAATCGGTTTTGCACGTCGCGATTTCAAGTCGCTTGTCGGCGATTGACAAATCAACGATCTGGCAATGCCGATCGCGCATGAAAATGCATAAGTAACAACGACAAAAACCTCGTTAAGGCCGACCCAAGGAGCGTAAAATGTGGCACGTTACACCGCGACAAGATTTCCATCACCGATTCATATAAAAGTGTCTCTCCGTCTTAAAAATACAGCGAATAACTGCGTCACTCAATGTGACAGATTTGTTCGAATAATTATAAAAAGATTAAAAGCACACGCAACATACGTACGAGTTAAATGCAGACACTTGATACAAACATTCAATTAAAATTCAAGACTATTTTAAAGACTTATTTTCTAACTCGCGATTGTAATGTGAAAGGATGTAACAGCGACGCGTTAATGACGGCATTTGCCAACAATTATGATCGTAACCACGTCTGCTTTATAGATAAAACTCGCGCGTTACAAGAGCACCGTCTCGCGAGAGAAATTTGCCCGAGAAACGTGCAACGACGAGAAACAATACTGCGATTCCCGTGGACCGTAAATGCACGAATCAAACCGTGCATTAACTTGCCTTTTGCCGCAATTACGCGCGGCGCGTTTCTTTATTATCATACCCGACGAAAAACTTTCGCCGGAGCCAACGTTTTGCATTTCCTGCCAATTTCAACCAGCATGCAAATGTCCACCGACTTTTTCCCGTGCATTTCTTCTTCCCATCTAATTCACGATCTGTTAGCGAAGAAACGGTATATTGCAACCATTGTAATTTATATATATATAATTGTAATTTATAATTATAATTCTAGATAGAATTATTCTGCAACAAATCTTTTGCGCATCGTTTCCAAAGTGACCGTAATAATATTCTTCAAATTTCTGTTTGATAAATTCCAAGTAAAATATAATCGTTATTATATATTCAGAGGCAATGCTGAGGAAATAAAAACGAGATATCCATTATTGGCTCATTTGTCGAAATTAGTTTCGTGCCGCGTAGGCGCGCGATATAATCACGCTAATATGACGTATCTCGATGTAATTGTTTGTCCCCGTTAATGCGGCCGCGCAAATGAAGCGCGACAAATCCCCGAGCGACCGACAATGCATAATTAACGTTCCAGCACTGGCTTCCCTTTTGTATCATTTATACGTAAATTAATCGAGATTCGTGATTTCGCCGCGCAGTTTGCAAAAATTCGCAAAATTACGACTTTTTCCCGCGCATCTTTCTATTAATAAGTATATCCCAATTTAAATTCGTCAGCAAAGAAACGGCATATTGTAATATTTATATTATTATAATTATAAATTATAATTAATATATACACATATTACGCTTACATTGTAACAATTATAATATTTATAACTATAATTAAGGTATTTATAATTAATTCAAAAATAATTATAATTTCTAACTATGAATTATAATTGTTGCAATATATTGTTTCTTATTTTTTATATCTTATATAGGGAGCTACTATTTTATCCGCTTTGACGTCTACGTATTCTCCGTGAGATCTATGCCGCATTTATCATCATCCTCGCCGCGGCTCAATTAATAATTCAATGTCACGTTGTAAACATCGTATGCCTAACAATGAATGTAACGTAAGGCAAAAGAAAGGATGCACAAAGGCGCCTAATTTGGCAGAAATCTCTTCGTCATTAACGCTCGCGATTGCGATGCACCTCGTCGATCATTTAACGGCGGCCATTACGCGCTGGTGCATCAATTAACTACATTCGTGCTTCTCCCGTGCATGTTCTCTCTTTCTCCACAAGTGCATGCATATACGCGGATAATAGAGAGAGGGAAAAAAAGAGAGAGAGAGAGAGAGAGAGAGAGAGAAAGGTTTCTGTGTCGCGCGAATGCGTCTCTCTTTCACGCACATTAAACATACAATATATATTTCTATAATAAAAATTCTCCCTATCTTTAAGAAAAATATTAAATATATCCACGTTTTACACGGATATGTAAATGAAAATCACCCTCGTTCTATGAGAGGATTTTTTTATTGGTATAAAATTTATAGAAAAAATATTATTAATAAGACAGTGTGTATATAAAATAAAAGCATGTACACACATGCTATAACTTTTTTATCGTGCGCCAACAAGTTAGGAAATCGCATCATCCAACGATTGATATGTTAGCGATCTTTCTTATAGATTTTACTATCAATAAGATAAATTGTTATAACTTTTCCAAAATTACTTCTATATTTAGAAACTCTTATATACCTAATTTTTATTTTGATATAAAATATTTTCCTTAGCTAACACATTCGGTTTCTAAATCCTTATAAAATTATTTTCGTCATTATGACAGAAATAAATTTTATGCATGCTTGCGTGCCCATTTTAGAGAACAGAGAAAGAGAAAGAAAGAGAAGGAATATTCATGATGACATATTTTTATTTTATCTAGAAAAATTAAGAATTTCGCGCAGCGAAATAAAGTGCGGTCGAGAAATTCATGAACGGTACATTGTAATATAGAACAGCCATTCATCCAGCCGCTTAGACTCTCCATGAATATTAGACTGTTTATCCTACGGAACGTTGCGTCGTACATTTTAGCTACCATTATTTTACGTAATAATTCGAACGTTCAAGTTTTAGAAGAAAATTTCCTGGAGTATATATGCGTTCGATAACAGTATTCTAACGGAGCAATCGTATCCGCACCCTTCTCCCTCCCATCTCCCCTTTTTATTAGCGATATTATATCTATAATTATGTTATCAATTTGTATGTTATGTCGAGTAGAGATCCATGCGTTCATCGACGATTGTAAAACCGTGTCACCGAAAATTCGATCAAAGAAGATTGCTTATATAAGCAATTCTATATTCTGCGACAATTAATGTAGTTAATGTAATTGATATTGCTCAATAATATCAAATGAAACGTTCTAAAGTAATTGACGCTCTACCGAAATATGCAAGTAAAATATCAACTTATGTAATGTAGAGATGTTTTTTTTAAATTTTTACATCAAAGGATTTGAGTAACGCTCTTATTACCAAGTAATGTAAAGTTTGTATCAGGCTATTTTTTAGAATGGCACAACCAAGGAATAATCTTGCACACCGATTTAAAGAAATTC